GGACAATGAGGACTACTGAGAACTCAAGAACAATGGCAATGGGTTTTTGATCCTACTGCACGTACTGGCTTTGTGGGAGCCTTGGCAGTTTGGATGCTCACCTTACTAGACCTGGATGGAGATGGTTGGTCCTTGGACTTCCCACAGGGCAGGGAACCCTGATTGCTCTTTGGGCTGATGAGGGAGGGGGACTTGATTGGGGGAGGGGGAGGGAAATGGGAGGTGGTGGCGGGGAAGAGACAGAAATCTTTAATAAATAAATAAATTAAAAAAAAAGAAACCTAGACAGGAAAATTTCAAGTCTTAGTTAGGGTCTGCTGGCCTAGTGAGTAAGTATGAAGCCAGCCTGGGCAGCTTATGGTTACTGTTTAAAGTTTAACAAATGGCTGGGGATATAGTTCAGGGACAGAGTGCTTGTGTAGCATGCAGGAAGTCCTAGGTCCAATCCTGCCAGGAGCACGAGACAAAAACTTAAACCATACACGAGGAAACAAAACAACAGAACAGCAAACCAAAACAACACGTGAATCCTCACAGATGTGTGATCTCTCTCACGGGAGGAGTTACAGAGCAAAAGGGTGGTGCTTAGCAGCAGTGGGTGAGAAATTGTTCACTGGATACAGTTGAGTTGGGAGGTTGAAGAAGTGCTAAAGATGGTTGGGATGCCCCAACAATGGCCTAAATACACTCAATGCTACTGAACCACATACTTAAAAGTAGTTCTGTGGTAATAGTCTCATCTTGTGTGTATTTTACCATGATAAACAACTAAATACTGTATTGTAGAGATGTTTCAGCTATCTATCTTGTTACCAAATGCCTGCGAAGAAGCAAGTTAAGGGAGGTGGGGTTTACTTTTTGTCCCCAGTTATAGGGTACATAGGTCACCATGGGTGATGTCTTGACCCCTGGTGGCAGGGGTGGTGCTCCCTGTGGCAGGGGTGTACAGCTGGAACCTCTAAGAGTGTCATTCAGAGTGGGCTTTCTCTATTTGGTTGAACTTCTCTGGAGACATTCTCACTGACAGATCTGGGAGTTAGTTTCCTCAATCCCAGTTGATAATCAAAGTTATCGATTATCAGAGTTCTAGGGGTAATTCGGCAGAGTGATTGCTCACGACTGGTACTTAGTTTAATACAGACAGTCAAGGGGATGCTAAACGTTAATGAATTTTATATCTGACCAAGCCGGGAGATTAGAAAGAAATATTTATTCAATACTGGGAAGAGTCATTGAACTGTTTCTGGTAAAAAGATATACGTGAGCCTTTACTGTAGTCTGAAATACCAGGTGGATCAAGAGGCCCCACTCACAGAATGCAGCTTCACACGTCTGTGGGAAAAGAAAATGAGGATTTGTCTCACCTCGGGATGGAAAGCTACAAAGAAATACTTGATGGGTTCTATGCATAAAATATTTCTGTGTATCAAGATCATCATGAAGAGGCAAGTGATAAACTTGGAAAATATTCACAGACAAAAGGCCTATTAACATCACCCTAGAAATAGGTTCATATCAAAACAGACAATTCACAGAAGGGCAAAGATGAGCTAATGCCAACCACCCTAGAAATCTAAACTTAGCAATTTTTAGACCTATCTCTGAACAAATTAAAGGGTAAAGTAAAATCTCGGAGGCATCAAGGGTTCAGCGAGGTGGGCATCGTCATTCACAGCCAGAGGCAAAACGAATTTGAACAGGTCACTGGAATGTTTCCTAGCAGAATTCTGAGTAAGGCAGACCCAGCTTAAACTAGTTTAAACAAAGAAGGCTTTGCGGGCCAGGGGAGAGGATTAAGCAACTGGGAGATTCAAGGATGGCACTGGCTTTACATAAATCTGGATCCCCGTGTCTCCTGTCTCTGGCCTGTTTGTCTTCCAAGGTGAAGGGAGCTGTGGGCAGATCCAAGTTGACACGATCCTTCCCTCTTGTTCTAGAGAATGAGAGAGCAAGCATTTTTTTAAGAATGCTTCACTGAAATATGATTTGCATACCATCCAATTTACCCCCTTAAAGCATACAATTAAGTAGTCTTAATATATTCACAGCCTTGTGCAACCATCACTGCAATCAACTTTAGAACATTTTCATCGCCCCAAAGGGAACCCCATACCAATTAGCAGTACTCCTTGTTTCCCCCAACACCTCAGCACCAGGCAAACATGAATCTGCTTTCCTTTTCTGTAGATTTATCTGCCAGCAAGCCTCTTGAATGGCCTCTCTAACCAGAGCCCCGGGAGTCTCTTGCTGATGAGGCTTGGGGTTAAACATTCACTCCTGACCCAATGTCTGGGCCAAGGGGATTGGTCCTCTCATTGGCTAGGCTGGGTGACCATCTTAGCCTTAGGATAAGAGCCGCATGCTCTTAGTAGGGTGATTATGGAACAGGAAAGGGCCTTCGGAGGCTGGGAATACGGAAAAGCAAGCATCCTTACACAGGGGACCACTTGGGAGTCTGCACCCTGATCGTTGAGTTTTTCTCCTAAGAAAGGACCAGAAACAGACTCTCCTTCATGCTCTGCCCGTGGTGATCAGGTGCCTGTGCAGGGGAGGGGAGTGCTGAGAACAGCTTCTCTGCTGTGGGAAAAGCGGGGAGAGGAGGGAAACTAGAACATCCTGCTTGAGCAGGAAGTGCATCTAGTCCTTGAGACAGCTTCCTCCAGGGTTCCTATGCACTCAGAAATGAGGCAGCCACAAGGGCCCATTTCTTTCACTAACCCAACAGAACGTTCCACCCTGAGGAAGCAGGCTAGGTTAGAACTCAGGTAGGGTTCTGGGCTGCCCTTGAATCTTGTCTTAGCTAGGAAGGCACTCGTAGAGCCCGGTTCACGTACATCAAGAGGTAAGAGGACCCAGACCAGATTAATGGCACAGCTGTCGCTTTGTCTTTGTTCAACGTATCTCTTGTCTTTGAAACATGGCAGGCCTGGAGTGAGGGGGTCCTGAGTTCTCTGCACTCATAAAGGACCGTGGCTGTGTGGCAGATCACTTAGGAGAAATGCCGCAGAGTGGTGTTGGCTTGTTTTATGTCGACTTGACCCAAACTAGAGTTATCTGAAAGGAGGGAGCCTCAACTGAAAAAAAAAAAAAGCCTCTATAAGATCCAGCTGAAAGGCATTTTTTTAATTAGTGATCCATGGGGGAGGGTGGGGCTTTCCCTGGCTGGTGGTCCCGAGTCCTATAAGAAAGCAGGCTGTAAAAGCCATGAGAAGCGAGTCAGTAAGCAGCTCCCCTCCATTGCCTCTGTATCAGCTCCTGCCTCCAGGCTCTCTCCATGTCTTGGTTCCAGTCCTGGCTTCCTTCGATGATGGGCTACAGTGGGAAAGCGTAAGTCAAGTAAACCCCTTTCTTCCTAAGTTGTTTTGGTCACGGTGTTTTAACACAACAATAGTAACTCCAAGTCAATAGCCTAATAGCCTACAGGCTGAGCTTCGTTGTTTGCTCGTGCTCCCCCCCCCCCACCGCAATGCACTTGCACACACGTGTGCATGGCTTTTTCTCACCCTGGGGCTCTGACAGGTCAGTACCTTTGACCTGTCCCCTGTTACCAGTCCTCCTCTAACCCCAGTTCCAGGGTCAGTCAGTCTTAAATTATAGATTCTCTCTCAAAGTGGCACCCTGCCACAGCCCTCACATGGACTGTGACAAAATGAACCTTCTCTCTACTGTTGACCCACCACACTGGAGAAGTCACTGTCTCACTAAAACCTCACCAGGACCGGAGGCTTGAGGAACTGTGGGCCTGGCCTGTGGGTATGAGGCTGGTCTTCTCATCATGACTATCCAGGTTCCTGTTGGATGAGGTGTTTGATTCTCCTTGACCCACTGGTGACTTGGATGAGAGGTTTGTTCCCTCCACGCATTAGTGACTTAGATGAGGAGTTTGGTCCCCCTTTACCCACTGGTGACGTGGATGAGGGGTTTGGTCCCCCTCCACCCACTGGTGACTTGGATGAGGGGTTTGGTCCCCCTCCACCCACTGGTGACTTGGATGAGGGGTTTTGTCCCCCTCCACCCACTGCTGACTTGCATGCTCCACTGCTCTTGCTGCACTTCCCCTCTGTCCTCTGCACTTTTCAGCTGTCCTGTTTTCTCCTTGGTGACTCTGATGTTCTTCCAACCTTCTTCCCTTCGAAATAGAATCACACTCCATTTTCCGTCGACGCTCATTCACAGGGCCACGTGGAAGCAATTTCTAATCCACCATCCATCCTCCCCCAGCTTTCCCCAAGCTCCCTTTTCTTTGCTTTAGGAAGCACAAACGCCTGCCTGGTTCCTCTGTTCCTTCCCAGGGGCAGTTGGTACGGAGCTGCGCAGATCCGCAGCGATGGCAGAGGCAGTGATACTCACGCTGCTCTCTCAGAGAACTCAGCTTTTGTCTACGGCGAGTCAGGACATGACAGCTTGTCTGTTGAATCAGTTAGACAGACCTGCAGAGACTGTGTGTTTGCAGATTAAGGCTGCTGGGGTGGGGGATGAATTCTTTAGAAAGGTGGAGGAGACTCAAGGCCAATCTTAGATCTAAAAGGGGTGGTGATCTGTGCTCATGTCCCCTTCTCAGAGAGGTCGCCTTACCCTATCTAAATGGCTATCTCCCCATCCCCTATCCTTTCTCTTCCTCCGACCCTCACCGTTCCCCTCAGTCATGTTTATTACACCTGACAGGATTTTACCTGATGATTAGTTTGCTAATTGACAGCCTTCTTCCTCTAGTGCCATGATGTTTGAAGATCTTTGCAGAGTAGGTGTACATGAAAAAATAAACATTTTCCTGAGCTGTTCTCAGCTTCATGGATGTGTTCATGGATGTGTTCTCAGAAAGGAGAACTGAAGGATTAACTTCACAAGAATTAGGTAACACTGACATCTGTGGTATATTTTAATAGTGCGTCCTGGTTAATTAAAATTCGGGTTCTTAGAGAAGCTAAAAAATGGCTTGTAAACCTGTCATAAGTGTGATAGGCCACAAGCAGAGACAGACACACTTGTGTCTTTCTACGGTGTCAGAAAATATTTAATAACAATACATTCATGAGGTTCAGTGGTTTCAGTGACAATAGTTTGTCACATAATCCAACCTTCCTTGGCAATCTGACTGAGGCAGGTTCTTTTATTTCAGTCTTGATCACGAATATGAACTCTCATAGCGTACATAGCTATATGTGTATATACTCTTTATAAAACCATTCTAAGATGCCGCGGTAGGCTTCAGAGGTTCCGGAAGTGGGCTGAGAGAGAGTCTGCAACAAGACCAGTGCTGGAGGGAAGTTGCATTTGGGGCTGCTAGAGTGAAGCTGCAGAGTTCAGCTGTGAGGGAAAAGACTGAATCAGGGTCAGGAAACAGCAGGTCCTGGTCTAGGTCCCCAGGGTGAACACGTGTGTGGGTAAGCAGACAAGGAGGACACATCCACAGTGGGGACCACGCTGAACTGAATCTTAAGGGACAGACAGGAAATCCTCTTTTTCCTAGTACCTGACCGAAATGCTAAGCATGAGATGACAGGTGATGTGGGGCCGTCCATTTAGAGTCCAGATGAGAGAGTTGCTCCTTTTCCTCAGTCTCGTGATGTCTGACAAGTTCCCTGATATGATTGTAACACAGCCACGGGCACCTATAGTTTCAAGTCATCCCAAAATACTCCCAGGAATGTCGTTTGCCAGTCTGCCCTAGGTGGGTGCTATGTGACTATGGTGGCTTGTGGGTCCATTTCGGGATGTTAGTAATCCCTCCTCAAAATGAGTAAAAAGTCTCTTGTAAAATGGACTCTCCTAGTGCAAGACACAACTTGAAATACAAAATAAAACAAGCAAACAAACAAGAAACCCCACACCATTTTATATACTACAGAGTACCTTAGAACAGGGAATAGCCCCATCTCAGCAAGCCTGGAAGCCCTTCCTCAGTTCTCTGGAAGTTCCAGATCAGGTCAGTGTATGAGTCTCCAAAGGTAGGTCCCACTGAGGAGCATCTAGGAAGCTGGTCTGGGGATATCTTAGAATCCTTGCACCTAGAAGTACTAGTCCTGCTTGGTGGTTTATGGTCAGACTTCTCAGTCAACCCTTGGACCATAAATCAGAGAGAATGACATACATCCTCATTGTTCCTGAGGAGATCTAACAGGGCAAACCCATTATAAAATTAGCTATAAACTTCATGAGGACATGGAGTGGGAATAGACCTTGGTGTTAGCTGGGTAGTAACTTGAATCCTAGTTCTTTTATTTGGTAGCTTTGGAATGAGCTCAGGGTGTTTAACTTTTAGCCTTCATCTATCTGTCACACGGGGCTAATAGTTTGTTATGTTTGAATATGAAATGTCCCTCTTAGCTTCACCTGTGCTGTGTATGGCTGACAGCTGATGAGCTTTTGAGAAGTGACTAGGTCTTGAGTGTTTTAACACAGTGGATTAATTTAATCTCTTTTTAACACTTATTTGTATGTGTGTGTGTGTATATCTTTGTGTGTTAGGGGGACAGAAGACAACCGTTGGGAGTCAGTTTTTTCTTCCACCTTGTAGGTTCTGAACTCAGGTTGTCAGGTTTGGCAGAAAATGCTATGACCTGCAGAGACATCTCGCCAGTCCTGGATTAATTTCTTGATGGATTCATAATGGGGTAGTATAAGTGGGAGGTAATAAAAGAGAAGAGATAGGGCCTATTTGGAGGAAATCTGCTATCACTGTGTGCCCTTGGGTTGCCCTGGCCTCATCCTATTGCTCACTCTGCTCTGAGGTGGACAACCTCCTCCACATGTTTTCTGTTGTTGCCTCACTACAACAGAATCTAGCAAGCCAAGGGCTGTGGCCTGAAATCCCTGGAACTGAGATCCCACACAAATCTTCCCTTCTCTTGTTTATGCCAGGTATTTTGGTGATAGCAATCAAAAGTAATTCATACAATTCCTGTGGTAGACTTGCAGCAATCTCACCGAGCTTGCGGTTTTGCCCTGATCTTACATTCCCTGCTATTCCTGGGGATGGCTACTAGTGAGTGGTCCTGGACGACCATTGATACAGAGCTGTGGCTTTCTAATCTGGGGCAGACGAGAGTCTTTTGGTCAAGACAGACAGATCATCTTCTCTCCCAGGCACCTGGCCATGCCCACCTGCCCTCCCAAGGGCCCCTTAGTCATCAACACTTTTGTTCTTTTTTTTCTCCTAATGTCTGTTTCATGCTGTTGCCTTTCATATCAGAACAAGGGTGGGATTTAGTCATCTGTTTATCACCAG